ATATAAAAACAAAAAAGCATAATAAATATTACAAACCTTGACATGCAGTATATCCTAAGCATATTGTGCACTAAAAATTTCATTTTTGTTAATTACAAGGCAACCACATAATCAGAAGGTTTTTGCCGTACTTTATGTTTAGGTGTAATTTGTCTCCTTCTCTCTTATGGAAAAAGAAATTATCCCCATATTCTTGCTTGGCAGATCTAAAAATAAAACCTGAGATAAATATGTTTTACTTGCTCCATATAAACTGTAACTACCTACTATTAAAACAAAGTCTTACCTTTCTGACTTTTGTAAACTGAGTATTGTTAAAAAATGCAGTAATCATCTCGGTAATCATATTTTCGTTTACAATGGGTAAAACACTTGATTCAACTTTTATAAATCCAGCTGATTCATATTAATAATAAAATTAAACCAAAACAAAAAACTAAGGTTAGATGTTACTGATGTTAGGTGATGTCACATACTTTGATTACTATACGAGGCAAGAGAGAGGTCCGACACGCCCAACATAGGGCGCGGCCATTTTGAACCCTGTGACACAGTTTACAGCTAAAGAATCAGATCGCTCACTCTGCGTCGGCACTTTTGATCTCAATGTTTCAGTTTATACACTGTGCAACTCGGATAATACAATATATGACAACCGCCTATAATAAAACAGCAGTCTTCTGCGTATCCTGAATTTGTATCCCTGGAGTGAATGTTATTTTGGAACTTTCAACTGGTCCGAGTGAGCTAACTCATTCTTTAGCAATAAACTGTGACTTCAAAAATAATATTCACTGACACTGACAGCAGCAAGCAAAATATCAGGTGCGTTTTAATCATCCGCTTCTGCTTCCGGAATTGTCGGTTTAGTCGTTTTAACTTGTCAGATTAAAACAAGAAAACCGACAATTCCGAACCAGAAGCGGATGATTAAAACGCACCTATTAAAAATATTGCGCCAAGATTTAGGCAACACGTAATAAGAGTTCAAAAAGGCACTCAGAAAGCTGCGCAGTGCGACCATTCTCCGTATAGTAAAAGAAAATCAAAGTATGTGGGTGGTGTCAATTTTAATGTCACTTGGATGTGCGTTCACTTCGACATTCTGTGTGTTGGTTTGTTCGTTGGCTTGGTTTTGTATAACAAAAAAAACTTCGACACAAGATGATTGGTCTATTCCCGATGACGTATAATTTCAAATTTTAAATTTCAATTGGGCTTAATTTAAAAACTTTTGGCTTTTTTAACGAACTGACTATTTAGAATAACTTGTATAGCGACTAACTATTACAATATAATTTATAAAACAGCATATCTCACATGTGAACATGGCCCATTGTAGATAGTGACTCATGTTGTAAAGAAATTTTATATGCCAATAAAATTAGACGTTTACCCTGTACAAAAAAAGTTATTTTTAATAGTTGTCGATTTTTTGAATTCCGACAAAAGGAGACATATTCAGTATTAATTAATAAACAAATTAGTGGGGTATTGCAAAATTTATGTAAATAAATTTACAAAAACATTCTTCTTCTACTACTAAAACCTTCTTCTTCTACTCACTCTTCAAAGATTATACGTTCAGATAGTTTCGAAAAAATTGAGAAGAACGCTATCTTTATAAATTTTTTGAATAACTAATTCATTTGTTTATTATTTACCTCTAGAACAGATATCATTTTGTTGAAATAATTTTAATAATTTGACTGGTCTATTTTTAAACTGTTCAAACGTCTTCCAATGGAATGTTTGGTTTGCATCTTTATCTAACGGTAGATAATGGCCGAGATCCACACTGTCGTCTCAGATTAAAGCGACGTTATTGGCAACAACGCATTTGAATCTTGCTTGGATGTTATCGTTGAAGCGGTGTCATAGGCGCGCTGATAGGGATTTCATCAGCAGAGACCGGAATTGTTTTCAGATATTTTTTTAAAAATCGAACCAGGATCTGTTATTGTTATAGATAACGCTCCATACCACAGCCGGCGTGTAGAACAGTTACCAACCACCAAATGGAGAAAAGCCCAGATTGCAGATTGGCTTACTAAGAAAAATATTAAATTCAATGAACCGATTTTATAAATCGAGTTACTAAACCTAGCACGGTGTCATAAAGATAAATATGTCAAATTTGTATTAGATGTTGAACTATTATTACTATTACTATCACCTCAAAAGACTATTACAGTTTATAACAGGGATATATAAAAAATATACGAGCCTGTCTCAGTGAAGTTGTCCCAACTCTACAAAACATGATATTTGTGAATTTATCTCAGGGCAAATTAAAATTTTGTTTAAAATATAATACTTTTGGTTTGTTTAAATGTTTATGGAAATATAATAATACCAGCGTGGCTATTTTTAAAGAGTTTTTATTTTTAAATTGTTTTATTTGTAAAATTCCCCAAAAATTCCCCAAAAATATTGTATCCACCCAAAATTCCCCCCAGAGTCCAAATTTCCACCCAAGGGGGAAATTTCCACCCAAACGGCAACACTGATACAGAGGTACGTTAGAATAAACATGATTTTTTAGGAAAAGAACTGTAATACTGTATAATAATTTAGTTCTAGGGTAAATACATACCTTCAATAATAGCAACAAAAAATATGAATCTGTTTTAATAAAAATTAATTACAAAAAACTTAATAATACTTTCACAAATTTTGATGCGCTAACGTAAAGGTTATAACGACTTACAGAATGGTAATTACTTTCGCCACTACACAGGAGAGGGCACCAATAACAAAAGTACTTTAAAATAGGATAAAGGACAATATTTTCTGGTTTTATTACCAGCTGCGTGGAATTTTCAGATTTAAAAAATTAAATAAAATACGAGATGTACATGTACGTGTACACAGGGTCTCAAAGGGTTAAATAACTTTCGTACATTGGTGTTGTTGTTAACAATTAAAAATGGCTCGTGTTAAAGCTGTTTCTGACGAAATAAGGAAAGTGATAATTCACTTACATTTGAAGAGCCAAACTTCTTCCCAAATCGTTGACAATGTTAATAAATCCAGATATACAGTTCAAAATATTATTAAACTGTACAAAACAACTGGATATGTGGCTCAAAAACCGAGAACTAGAAATTATCCGCAATATTCCAATGCCAACTTAAGAGCTATAAAAAGGATTATCAAGCAAAATCGGCGTGCTAATTATAACAAATTGAGAATATTATGAAATCAGGTAACGGGAAAAACATTTTCCAAGCAATTTATCACAGAGCTGCCAAAAAACTGAGATTTAAAACTTACAAGGTATGCTTGAATAATTTTTGCTTCTTGTTTGTTTTTAATTCAATAATTCGTAGGCAAAAGAGAAGTCCTTACTGACAAAGTTTCAGAAGAAAAATAGACTAGCGCGGGCAAAGGAACCTTAGTTATGGTCTCCACACCAATAGAACTCTATTATTTGGAATGACGAAGCCAGATTTAAAGTATGCATTGTTGATTGTAGGAGTCGTGTCCTAAGAACAAAAGAAGAAGTGTTTCAGAATGACTGTCTTAGAAAGAAAGTTAAGTTTCCGGCTTCTGTTATAATTTGGGGAGCCATGTCAGCTTAAGAAGTGGGAAACTTACACTTTGTGGAAGGTATTATGAATACTGATAAGTACATTAATGGGCAAAATAACTTTAAATCCCAAATTGAAAAAATGGGTTTAAATAATATGGAATGTTTCTTCCAGCAAGATGGTGCCACTTGTCACACGGCTAAAAAAAGTAAAAGATTGAATGTTAGAAAACAATATTCCACTTTTAAAATGGACGTCCAGTAGCCCAGATCTATCGCCTATTGAAACGTTGTGGCATATCAGGAAAAAAGCTCAGATCAAATCCCGCAAAAACCGTTCTAGAATTGCGAACCCGTCTTCAAGAAATTTGGAACAGTTTTACAGCAGACGACTGCCAAACATTAAATGACACTATGTCAAGGTGTATCGAATCAGTAATCAGTCGAAAAGGCGATGTAACGCAGTGGTAATTTGCTGTTATTTGGTTTCGTAATATTTTTTTAATATACAGTTTTTGAATTTATCTGATTTTTTTCTATTACAAAAAAAAATGTATTTTAGGCTAAAATTAAATAAACATATCATATGTTATCAGAAATATTAGTTTTTAATACGTTTTTCGTTAATATGGCAAATGTTTTGAAAAAACATGGTTTCTGCAGTTAAGCCAACTTTACTGCGACAGGGCTCGTATATACATTTGAATTTATATATACTTATTCGATAATTATTATTGCCGGTTTTCCTCACCTTGTGCAACTTTAAAATAGGAAAACAATTTTTGTGACAACCAATTCGTTCTAAAATGCGGAAGATCATTTTTAATAATAACCGCACTCTAGGACTCGTCGATTTCCTACCCCCTCAGACCCGCAAAGGTCTGGGGTAAACATGGCGAATGTATATGTGCGTATATGATGTATACAATTTTTATATTAGTCATATCTTTTTTCCTTACTTTTGGCACTTAGACCCTTTTGAAGTTATGGTCTTCATTTGGATTTAAACCCTTCAAAACAGTCGGAAAGCGATTTATTGCTTGCTTACTTACTTATTGTTAGCCCCGAAAGTATTTTTCTTCCATAATTTAAAAACCACTTAACTCGGCAAACACACAATACAAGCATTATACTAAAACACAATATATCCAGAATTGAAAAGTTGAGGTAAAACTGCAAAAAATTAATATTACGGGTAAGTAGCTGTAACACAAAAACTAGACCTGATCAAAACAAAATGAATACGGTGTTATAAGAAGGGGTAGGTAAGTATTTCAAAAGTTCCTATTAGAAACATTTTTTGATCAGTGAACGAGAAAGGTGATGACCCAAATAAGGCAAATAGGAACTTAAGAGACTAGAAAATCATTTGATTGGTCGAAAATAGTTCGCACGACATTTATTTTCCATTTTTAATTTTATTCTCTTTGAGGTACTTTTTCTCTCAATTGTAAATGTTCGTTTTCAGAACTCCGTCGGAATTCGATCCAAATTACGAGGAGCTGCGTCATCGCGTATCCAACGCCAGCGATTGCTCGAGCTACACGAAAATTAAAGACTTAAGCGACGGTTATTCGGTGGTGCAAAAAAACAAAAATTTCACTAATTGTGAAGTAATCGACGAACCGAACTACGAAAGCATGAAAAGTGAAGAATCGAATTACGCCGGTTCGAAGTCGAATAGCAGCGAATCGGATCCGAATTACGAGTCGGTCAATCACGGCGATCCGAATTATGAGAGCGTCAAAGACTTGGAGGATCCTCCTTATGAACGTTTAGACGAGGATTCCAGCAGAACGAATTCCGATCTTTCTGGTTGTGATAGGATAAAGAAAATTGGTGAGTATCATTTTTTCGTAAAATAAATAAATCTTGATGTAGACAAATGGATTTATTACATCTGCACACAATAATAATTTATTCACAAAGATACACTAATTACAAAGTATTAGCTCAAATTAAATTAATTGCTGTGCATAAAATATACCTGATAAGTAGAGAGCGGAATATATGCAAAATGCATATATATGCATTTTTTGCATATTTTACCAAAGTTCAGAAAATATTGCATATTTTTCCAAAATTCAGAAAATAGTGCATATTTTACCAAAGTTCAGAAAATTTAAGAAAATATTGCATATTTTCGAAAAAAAAAAATGTATTACTATACTGTGCAAATCAAAAACTGTTTTAACAGATTATACAGATATATTTGAAATAAAGACCTTTTAAATTTTTGTATTTGTTTTTAAGTGTCACTTCTTGTAAATTCTTGTTAATTAGTTCTTGGAGGGTGGCATGCACTGGGTTTTTACCTTCTTAAGAGATTAAGCCCATTAAGGTAATTGTTAATAGATGGTATTTACACAGATAAAGTATTACCTACAATGCAATAAAACGGTTTATATAAAATTCTCAGTAATTTCTTGTAACCAATCTACCCTAACATCGGAATATTTTGAATGTTTTTCATTCAGTTTAATGAGATAGTATCCTCGTTATTTGCCTAGTGAAAAGTCTTGTAATAATTTGTTGTTTTAAAAGTGTCCTAAAATGTCGAGAATTTCTTCGTGGATTATTAACTTTCCAGAGTTGGAAATCAATGGGGATAAAGTTTTTTGTAAAGCTTGTGCCAAAATAGTGGTTTGCGAAAAAAAGTTCAAAGTGGTTCAACACGTGAAAACATCATTGCATAAAGCCAAATTGCCAAAAATGAAATCACAACCGGTTCAACAATGCGTTGTGAGGTCATTTCAAAACGCCGACAAAAATAAAAAGTGACAAGGAGGTATTTAATCAGGACTTGTGCAAAGCTCTTGTTGCGGAAAATATTCCATTAAAGAAGTTACAAAACCTACATCTATGAGAATTTTTACAAAAATATTGCAATCAAACCATTCCTGACGAATCTACACTCAGAAAAAAAAATGTACATGCTATATATATATATCGATAAACTCGGAGTTGTGACTTCCGTTATGTAAAACAGGCGACCTGACATCTGGGCTTAGGGACCCATATATGTATATTTTTTTGACATATATATATTGAGGGGGAATAACAAAATAGATTTTTCAAAAGAGGGGTAGAAAAAAATTATTTTGATTTTTTTTTATTACCTGCAAAGCGTTAAGACATCCAGCATATATAGCCTTGCTAGGTTGCCAGATTTACGGAAGTCAAAAGGTTGAATATATAGCAAACCAAGAAATACAGAAAGCACAATACAATAACACTTTTAAATGTAACCTTATATCTATCTGGTCTGTCGGCTGTATTCTTTTCAGATTTCAGTCTTTTAGTATTGATTGGATTTCAAAAAATTGGATTAGGCATTTAAAATAAAATAAATTCAAGGAAAAATATGTAAATGAAATAAAATAAATTTTAGTATTTTAATTTTTTATTCATATTAAACAATTTTTTTTTCTAAAAACGTTTATAAAAAAACAATTTTTTTAACTTAGAATAAGTTTCATAATAACTTTTAAAACTATTGTGGGTAATACGAATTATTAGAGTATCATGTTCATACTCTACGGACTTTTTAATTCAAGTTTAATCAAATGTTGAATTTTAGATTTTATAGCAGGTGCCCTTCTTTTTGACTTATATTTTTCTATAAATGTCCTTATTTCTTTTCCGGATGGATAAGTATGTGATTTTATGTAGGAACCAAAATTCTTTTCGATTTGATTTATTTCAGTCTTTGTCCATCCTAACAAATAAAACAATATTAAGTCACTTCGTAAAAACCTATGTAATTCGTTGCTTTTTTGGCGTTGGTAGGCGCTACTTACTTGTTTTTTGAGAAATCTCCTTGACGTTTAATTTGTTATCTACAAATGTAATTATTGTTTATATTTATTAAGTACAGATGAGGTTATTACAATAATTAGTATTACTAATTAGAGCCTAAATTTTATGTCATATACTTATATTTGTATTTCTTTAAAAAAAAACGCGACTGTTAGATAAAGTGTCATTTATTAATAGTTTCATTTATTGAAACTCTCCTATATCGAATACACGTGATACTAAAAATGCTTATCTCCTAGGTTCTATCAGATACCAAAAAGAAAATTAGGGAGGTTATAAGCAATAACGCCGTGCTAGAATAAAATATTTTTTTCAATTTTGACACCCTGTACTTAATTTTAAATTAGAATTATTGTTTACTTCTTAATTTTAACAATATGAAGGTGTAATGAGTTATACGGGGTATACTGGAAGTTATCACACTAATCAATCACCCTGTATAATAATAGATAAATATACATCAAATCATTGACAATAGTGGGCAAAATATAAATTTAACTTGCCCAGAAACTTTCACAAAAAAAATAAATATTACTGAAATAGATCTAATAAAAGTATTATCTGTCATGCGAAGAGTTACACAACTATCTATATATTAAAGTTTTTAAATTTAGTACTGTGTCATTAACTAAAGCCAGTATGTTTTCTTTGTAAATGTCTTGTGAAGTTTTTATTAAAAATATCATCATCACAATAATTGCATCGAATTAACTTCTTTGCTTTGTTTTTGGTTGCTCAGAAAATCAGAAGTGAACAGTCGAGCTTAAACGTCGAGTGGCAAAAAAGTCACCGTTTTTGGGACGTTAAAAATTTAATTAGGTGTAAATGTTATTAAAAAAAAAATAAAAAAATATCCCCATGAATTTGAATTTAAGCTTAAGAAGTTATATACATAAACTTACATAACGTTCTTCGCACACTGGCACGGTTTTTAGATTTGGTACAGAACTTTTTGAATTTTCATTATAGTTTGGTTGCTCTAATAATGCAAAATCTTTGTTTTGAAAAGTTTGATCGTTGCTTAGTGGTATAATCACGTCCTTGGTATTAGACGTACCTGCATTACTATGCATAGGACTTTTGATTTTATCGAGAAGGTCAGACATACAATCTTCTGATAATTCAAAACTACCTTCTTCAGATTCATTATAAATATAATCTTCATCTTTTGAGTCATCATCCACGATTGAACTGGATGTATTAGATTTTGTTTTATCTATTAAAAAATTATGTTCGGGAAAATTATTTCCATTTTTTTCTGTTTGAATGTCATAAAAAGTCTAAAACGAAGCATAGATTTATTTTTTTTTTAAATTACGTTTATAGACACTTACTTTTTCATATGAAGTTGGAAGGTCAGTATTCGAAGTTAAAGGTTCTTCTATTTTATTATTATTTTGTAAGTATGTGTTATGGTTCATCTCTATAGTAAATGGTAAGATTTGAAAGTTGGAAATAATCTAAAAGTCAAATCATTATTTTACTAAGATTAAAATAAAAAGTCTTTTTACTAACTTTTATTTTCTTATTTGGAGGTGGCGTTTCGTTATTAAAACCTAATAATTTTTCAGTGCACGTTTCATCTTCATTTGATTCTGCTGCATTAGGGAGTATTGATTGTTGTGTATAAATTTTACCTTTACTAGTATCGTATTTCTCATTATCAAAACCGATGGTTGAGCAATCGTCAAATGGACTATTTTCGACCCATTCCTAAAATTTTTATTTAAATTTTTAAAATAGCCCTTGTAAAAAGTTGAACAAGTACGTACTAATTACAAATTATTAAATTGTTGGTTACTATAAACATCTTCGAAATGGTCTTTATTAAAAGTTGTTTAATTATATCCGATAGTTTAAAAAACATTTAAAACAGGTCCAATTTTATTTAAAAGAAAAAATGTATGTCATAATACAGAGTGGAACAAATTTATAAATTAAGCTCTAAATAAATATAAATTAAGCCTTTTCAGTACGCAGCTGGCACAGGTTAGGCAAATAATAAACATAAAATATGATTGCCCGGGAATTTAATAACAATCAAAATATATCGGATGTTCATAAAATATGCTGTCTCAAGTGTTTCATTTTAATATCTTTAGTTTACTACTGAACATTCAGTACAAATGCAAATTTTTATTAGATTAGTAAAATTTAAGACACCAATAATTTGGGAACCAGTAAATATTTAGTATTAGTATATGTAACCAAATTTCTAACTTTGCTGTACCCTACATAAAACGATTAATAATACTTACATTAGTTTTTTGAAAATACATATCTGTTAAAGAAACTTTTTTGTTAGGCATATTCTCTTTGTTTTCGCCTAAAACAAGGAGAAACAAAATTATATAATGTTTGTACTATATTTATTTATAACAAAAATTCATGCTGTAAAGACAACAGGGGCGATTTTTTTAAAAACCAAAATAGTTTTTGTAGTTGAAAGTTCGAGACAAAATTTTAAACACTCAATCTGAATTATGAATTTTGTGGAATTTTGTTTTTAACGACTATGAGGCATTTAAAAATCACACTGCAACTAGCATTTTTTTTAAGAACGAATATCTCGAAAACGGCAGATATAATTTAGGTAAATAAAATTATACTACTCCTAGAATTCAAAAATTTAAAAATATACAAAGCGTTACATTTAAAATAAGGAAGTTGATACCAACTTCCAGTATATCCAGAAGTAGCTGGTTGTTTTTAACGTTTTTAATCTCTAGGACATCCCCAAAAATGTCATATCCCAACTTTATAGATTTTATTTCAGTCTACTCCTGAAACCCCTATACTTAGCCATCTAAAAAAATCACCCTGTATATTGTCCTGATGGTACTCAGAGGGTTAACCTGTTTGATAACTCACTTTAGCTAGATAATATTTTTCCCCAAAGCCTCTTTCATAATAATAAAATAATAAAAATGATTAAAAACATTAGCATATTACACTTACCTAAAGCTATTGAAATCATTAATTGATTTCGTTTCATTTTCACTACGATCTGCTTCGGTTCA